TAATGCGCCTGGACGGGATGGAGGTGCCCCCCCCCCCCGCCCCCCTGTAGGACGAGGCTCTTATGGCCATGCCATGTGCCAGTTAACCAGTTACTCCTTTACATCTCTATGCAGGATTGATTTCCCTTGTCTAACACAGTGAAACTGGTGGATTATAGTGTTAGGAATAGAAACAATATCTTGGCATATGTCCCTTCCCCACATCCCATATGAAGGCGGCCTCTATTTATTAATTGGGGAAGGGGGTGTTCACTTCCCAAACACGCTACCTCTGGCTTCTCTGAAGTAAAACAGGCTGAACAAAGATACGTTGGCATAAAGCCCTCTAGATCCTTGCTCCACATTCACATTCCAGATTCCACCGAGTCTGGGCATTCAGTTGTGTGTTACGCATCCTGGAGAATCCCAGATCACATGAGGTTAGGCTGTTTTCACAATTTAGCGCACGCCACTCTACATACAGTTGTATCCAGGGGAGGAGGTCACAACCACAGCACACTGGAGCCAGCTCAGGGGCCTGAGAGGAGGGAAGGAGAGGGACGCCTGACTCCAGCCAGAAATGCCCATTGGGAAAAGGAAAGTGGGATTTATCCTGCTCTGGAAAGCCCTTGTAGACTTTAAGGCAGGCCTGGGCAAAATATGGTCTGTGGGCCACTGCCTCCAGCGTTGGCTAGGGCCCTGGTCAAAAATTATTGCCAACCCCTGCTTTAAGGCCGCAAGAAGCCGTCATGATAAACACGTTGTCAACGTGTACATGTTGCAGACCATACACCATCATCCACCCAATCCTGCAATAGACTCCTAACCTCTGACCAAGTTGCTAAAGTCCTCAAATCATGATTTAAATACAGAGAATTCACAATTTACACTAATTTAACCCTGCAAGTGATAGGGATGTAAGTGACTAGTTGACCATCTGATAAGCAAAAGCTTCTTGGATTGCCGACACCCTAGTCAACTAGTCGCTCCCCCACCCCTTGCTGCCTCTATCAAAAAGAGACAGCAGGGGGCTGAGGGTGCTTCAAAGTGGCAGAACTAAGTGGAGCCTGGGGCCAGACCCTGCGCTCCAAGGAGTGAGGGCTGGGCATGAGCCAGGAATCAGCTGATTCCCAACTCATGTCCAGTCCCAGACTCTGCAACGCTACTTTTTAAATGTATTAAGAGCCTGCGAGCTCTTAATACATTTAAAAATCAGAAGCGCAGTGGGGGGGACTCAGTGCAAGCCAGGCCAGGCCACTGGGTCCCCCCTGCGGTGCTTTAATAGGGTTGCCAGGTGTCCAGTATTGAACCAGATGGTCTGGCATTTTCACCTCCTATCCAGTAAAACAATTCAGAAAATACCAGATACCTAAAATGTCCAGTATTTTCTGATTCTTCTCTCTCCCCGCCACCTCCCCCGCAGCCTCTTAGGGCCACAAACCCTCAAAAGCTTTTCTTAAAGGGGGCATGCTGTTTTGTTTTTGTTTTGTTTTTTTGCTTAACAGCTCTCGGGATCCTTAGGGAGGGGAGAGGGCTCAATCAAGAAAAGAAGATGGCTGCTGGCAACAAGACCTGAAGCAAGGGGAAGCAATGCCTTCCCTGGGTCTTAGTGCTCAACCTCTCCCTGCTCACACTTAAAGGGGTCATGCGGTTTTATGTATTTAGTTTTTGCTCAACAACTTTGGTTTTCCCCCTCCCCCGAGTGTTTTTTTTGGGGGGTGGGAGGGTTGTTTAGTATCTTTGGTTAAACCATCTGGCAACCCTGCACTTTAGCACTTTAAATGTATTAAGAGCCTAGAGTCTCTTAATACATTTAAAAGCAGAGCCACAGCGGGGTTAGCTGCCGGGCCGGGGGTTAGCTGCATGTCTGGTATTTTCTCATTCGGTAAGTTGTATTATTATTAGATGTATCAGTTTGTAGTTAAGAACTGCCTGGCTGGTGTGTGTGCTCAGGCTGCATGAGTGTGTCTACCAGCCAGACAGTTCGCAACTACTCGAGGGGGTGTGTGTGTGTATGGGGGGGGCGGCTGGAATCAGTCGTGCGTTTGGGGAGGTGGGGCAGCTCCCCGAGATCTACATATGGCTGGGGCAGGCCCT